TTAAGATGAGTTGAAGTCCACTCATCTTAAAGTGGCCAAGTTTGGACAACACTGATTTAGGGAATTGCAACGTCCCCCCTGAATGCTCCAGTTCCTTAACCCACTCACCTGGCATTCCACCAAGATAAATGTTTTCTTTGACCGAAGTAGCATGGGCATCATTTGGGCCCACTGTGTAATTTCCTTCAGTATCCACATTCAGTTGGATCATGTTGCTTTCTTTGATGACTAGGAAAGAAGACAAATTAGCATGCATCTGCTTCATAATTCATGCAGCAGCACTTGCTCCCCTACACCACAGGAATGTGGAAGGAGTAGATAGAGTTAGTCTGGTGCTATTGATATCAGCTCTTTCCAACCCACTGCCTAATAACTGTTGGATTACAACTCCCATAATTACCACCGAGAGAGATCTATATTAGCAAAGCATGCTGAGCTGGACCAGCAACAGAGAACTATTCTCTATTTAAGGATAGGGGCAGATGGACATGCAAGATTTACAAATATTATAATGTTTTATTTAGCATCTGACATCTCTATGAGATCTGAATACTAAGTCCCAGAAGAATTGTGGCAGTCCAATTTTAGCCTCCATCAACCACCATTTGATGAGGAGAAATGTTTCATAAAGCCCAGATTGCAGTGCTGATTTACTGGCTGCATTCACATTTAATCTTGCTAAATTAACCCATGTTATGGTTCGCACAATACAATGAAGGAATATGTTGGCTCAATAAGTCAGCTAGATCTTCAACAGAACTGATCAACAGCATTCTACAAACACAGCTATTCTGTGATTAGGCTCCACAGCATACCATCTTGTACAGCGATGGTCAGTAAATCTAAATATAAGGGGAAGTGGAAGGATTTTATAGAATGGGGTTTAGGGAATACCTCAGTGCAACTGATTCCTTCCAAAAGATACAGCAGAAAGATTATATCCAATGGGTTGAATAGTGGCTCACCTGCTATTGTATGCCATTGGCCATCACAGAGGGAAGGTTGGGCCACAGAAGTGGAGAACTCTCCTGCTCCTGTATTTGCGGTCACTGTAACCTAATACGGAGGAATGATTTGGAGAATGTTCATTTAGATGGTATCAGGGAGATGCTCCTGAACACTTAAATTTGGCTTATTCTATCTGAAAACCCAGAAGGTTCTGAGTAAGTTCTCAGAAAGAAACACTTCAGATCAGACCATTACATATCTACCCCAACAGATTTTCAGTTTCCACTTTATAACATTTATAGTCATAAAGGCCAAGAAAAACAGGCTTTCATCTGATCCACAATCTCCTCGTGGCTGTTAATACGATGCAGCCTCCTCTCCTTTCAATTTTTAAAAATTTTATTAGATATTTCTGTGTCACTCTATTCCACCTCTGGAGGTGGATCATAAGAGAAGGCCTAACATCTCACCAAAGCCCAATTTTTCACCTCTTTTCAGAAACCGAGTGGAGAGAAAATTGGGGGCAAACTGTTCCACAAAAGAAGTGCCAGCGTTGCTAAGGCCTGTTGACAAAATTCCTTCAGAGATGACACGCTCAGCAGGTCTTCTCCTCCAGGTCTTATAGGAAGGGCAGATTCACTTTGGAGCAAGTAGTTCTGGAGATCTTGTGTAGTTGCCAGCCCAATGTGAACCCCTGGCCAATAATACATTTACACTCCACCTTGATAGTGGATGGTATGTTTTTGTACTGTCCATGCCAAGAATATACATGACAATAGTTTTGGTTTCCTTTAAAGGATATCCAAGGTATTTGCATCTATTACTTTTAGTTTTTACAAAATTCCTGAAACTCACATCCCTATCAATCAATTTACCTTTTGGCTCTCAGTAGATAGCCTGAGATAATTTGTCTGCCTTCCTACATGAAATATCAGGCCAGATGTACTCCGTGGCCGGATCTCCAGCATCATCTCAAAGTCTTGACCTATAGCTACAGACCTATCTGGGAGAGAAGAGCAAGGCTGTCACAGAAGCAGATTTTTGGAAAGGGAACAGAAAGTTAAAACTATCTTGAAAGAAAGTGCGAAGAATGGCCAAGTGTGAAAGGCTCAGGAGAGATGACACTTAAAGTACCTAGTGTGATGTATCCTCCCTCAACAGAGAAAAAAATGCCGGTTTCCAAAGGGCCCACGTAACAAGGGGTCACAGCGAACACACGGGATGGTGAATTTAGAGGCTTTTTGTCAAGTTTTAGGTGCCTGAGGCAACCCTTAAAGCTGGTAGCGGAAGCATCCTGCAGAAAAGAAGAAGGTCTTCTGAAGCAGATAACAGCATCTGGACATTTCCACTATCTATAGTTCCCCAAACCCCCCCCCTTGTATAATTTTATTAAAGTTTTAAAAAGAAGATTAAAAACTGAAACTATAGTTCTCCAAACCCTCAAGTTCATGCTTTCGCTTATATTTATTTATTTAAATAACTTATATGGCGGCCTATTTCACACAACGATCCTAGGTGGCTCACAACTACTAACAAAAACAATATAAAAACAAATCAAATCCTTCCCACCAGGCACGAGACCACCTATACTGTTGACCCTGATTCAACCCCATCCTAGCCCAATGTTTGGGGAAGAGCCCGGTCTTCACGGCCTTCCAGAAGGCTAAGAGTAGGGACCCCTCAAATCGCAGGTGGGAGGCTATACAAAGGGCCAGGGCAGCCTCAGAGAAGATACACCTTCAAGGTCCCACCAGACGACAGTGTTCAAGGGAAGGGACCTGGAGCACCTCCACCCTATCTGACCTAGTATGATGGATAGACAGCGTCAGGGAAAGGCGGTCACCCAAATAACCTGGGCCTATATCATGTAGGGCTTTAAAAGAGATAGCTTGCACGTTAAATTGCACTCAGAAGGTAAGTGGGAGCTACTGCAGTTCAAGTAAAAGCAGTGTAACACAGGCAAGTTACAAAGCACCCAGAACTGTGCACGTTGCTGCATTTTGGACCAGCTGCAGCTTCTGCATGGTCTTCAAGGGCAACCTCATGTGAAGTGCATTGCAGTAATTCAACAGGGAAGTGACTAAGGCATGAATGACTGAGCTAGGCCTCCTGGTCAAGGAATGGGCACAATTCATATAAGTCCCTCCTGCTTCATATCAGCGATAATTCTAGTTATATGGACAAGCAGCTTCCAGAGTAGATTATTAGGTTCCTTACTGGTATATGAGCCTTAGCTTTTGCCACTGGTGCTCCACCCACATAAAAGGGGCCAGAGATCCCAAAGTTGACAGTGGTTGGCAGCAACTTCTCCAAGGATCTCAGTCCATCAACGACCAGCTGAACTCTATTCCTATCTCTGCTGTAGAAGACCTGAAAATTGTAAGAGATGTATGTGATTCTTCAGTTGTATCTCCTTTCTATGGTCACAAGCAAAGCAATCCTATTTCAATCCTGAGGCACTCAGATATTTTTTCCCCAGCTGGAGATCAGCAAGGTGGAAGCAAGAAGAGAGATCTTCTTCCTGATTTTACAGACAGTTCTCTTCCACTTCAAGCTAATCCAAACTATTTCTACTCGGAGGCATGACTGAGGATTGAAGAGGCTCTAAGTCTTCTATTATCTTCTCTTTTCAGCCCACTCCCTCCTCTACCCCAGGAAAGAGTGTTAGCTGCAGGGACTGGTAGAGAAACGGGACAGGGAATCCAGTCCTAGATTTCCTCCTTTACTGATGAGTCAAAGACAGACTTCAGAGAGGAAAATGTGTTGCACATCCAGTTGGTACACCTTTCACATCTACACAATAAGCACATCCTTGCAGGGGAAACAGGGGCAATGGCTTCCCTGCAAGATCCTTACTTAGGAACCTGGGAATAGCAGAAATAGAAACCTATATTAGAGAAGTGATGGTTACTCAGCCATGCTGGTTTATACTTACAATGAAGCCCTTAAGGCTACCAAATTGGAATGATATTCAAAGTTTTATCATAGGGAGTAAATGAATACATAGAGGAGGATTGGCTAGTTCTGTCCCAGACTCTTTTTTTTTTTTTGGGGGGTGCAATGCACTCCCTGAGACAAAATAGTACCTCTCGTCTTTGAGTTTATAACCCATTCAACTATCTAGCCAAGGAATGGATGCCATATCCTATTTTATGCTACTCCACCAATGGAAACACACTGTCGGCTCAGTGTCAATCTGGAGGAAAAGTAAGCCATTCAACATGGAATCGATTAACAAAATGTGCCTATTTTCTGCTTCTCACCCACAAATATAGACACAAGAACAGCACTAGGGGTCAGATCAGCTCCTATATTTAGTTTTCTTACTGTGTGCCATCTTCCATCGTGGTACTTTTCTTTGGTCCGGAGTCTCACTTTATGTCCACTGAAATCAGCCAAAAGGACCAAGCGTCCATTGGAGACAAAAAGGGAGAAGAAGGAGCCCAGAGATTCATTAGCCATGTAGAACAGCAGGCCATTGGAGGCGTTCAATCTAACCTCCATGGAGAAATGGAACCTGTTGAAGAAGAACTGACTGTCATTCAAGTTTTCTTAACTCTGGACTGGAGTTCAGAAGTTCAGCGAATAGAGTACAGACTGAACGTATTCATGGGGCCATGCTATCTTTGGATGACGTCTATGGGCACAGGCAAAGATTAAAATATTGCCTTCTAAGAGTTTCCTGATGACTTTCTACAAAAAAGCATAGCATTCTTGCAATCTTTGCTATAGTCTTTTTAAATTGGAAAAATCACTTTCCCATGCGTATATGGTATGGGGGAGGAAAGAATGGAGTAGAAAGAATGGAATGAGGATAATTGGAGCTTGCTGCGGGGCATCCTAAGGGATTGATTAAGGCAGGGTTCTTCAACTTCAGCAACTTTAAGATGGGTGGATTTCAACTCTCAGAATTCCCCAGCCAGAGTTGAAGTCCACCCATCTTAAAGTTGCTGAGGTTGAGGAACCCTGGATTAAGGGTTTTTGTTTTTGCGTGATGGTTTTACTGTTTTATGGTTATGTTTCATAGTTGCTGGTTTTAAGGCTGTTGAGAGCAGCCCAGAGTTGTTGAAGATGATCTTGAATCAGCGAGTTCTATCCAGAAACCTGGTGGTAATTGAAGCTCTGGAGGTAGATAGATCTGAGATTCTTCACCTCCCTATTTTTTCTTCTTCTGAAGTATCAGAAAGGACTTCCAAGCAAGAAGGAGGCAGAAAAACACATTTTACTATTTATTTATTTATTTATTTATTTATTTATTTAATTAATTAATTAATTAATTAATTTTTTTACCTTTCTTGGAACATTGCTGGTATTTCATTGAACTCAAAACGGCTGACAGGGGATCCACCAAACTGGAAGGCATCTTTAATGGCTTTGGGATTTTTGAGCAGGTGGCAATTTGTGTCTTTCAGCATTGCCTTGCTTGATACCTGCAGAGACACAATTTGGAACTCACAGTCCACAATTTGGTCATGACTGGTTTCCTACAGGAACATGAATTGGATTTAAACTTTTAAATTCTTAGCCCATAAATGATCGATATCCTGTTAATAACTTCACATCTTGGAAATACTTGATCATAAAGGACTGTTAAAGGACTCCTAATATCTAAATGCTATCCTTGCCCTATGTTTAAATATGCTTGCTGTTAAAAAAAACACACACACAGATCTATTATTATTGGGTAGAATAAATATGCATTTGTGAAACCAAAGCAATAAGGGAGTTCAGTATATTATTTGTTATTTGGACAATGTGTAATGACAGGGACCAACAGGCAAAGGGGAAGAGCTGTTCTATACATTTCCTGAGGTCCTTCTGTGCAATATTTCAATATAACGGCAGCACAGGCTAAATACACGACTTGATCTTCCATAATATCTTTCATAATAGATGTGGGTTATTCCATTCCTGAAACAGAGCCAAATTCTCTCAGGACAATGAAAATTGGGCTTTAAAGATTTCCATCACCTTTGTTTTCCACCTGCCCTTCTTTTCTGGTGCTCTCATCTGCTGGGGTTGCCGATCCCTGGGACAGTTCATGGTCACATTGAAATTCTCAGTGCTCTGCTGTAGATCCACAACTGCCTGGGCTTCTGATCTCCTAGTGCAGAAAGGGAAAAGAGGTTAACAGCTGTTCAGTGAGGACCACAGCAGATGGTGGGAACTGTCAGAACCTCTTTTGACTATATTGATCAAACTGTAATTCTCATATCCTTCAAGATCTGTTCTTGTAGTCAATGGACAAGAATATTACTAGGACCATGCTGTGTCCTATTTCAGTTAACCCTCAATAAAGGAGGAGATTCATTTTTACTCTGATTTAAAAATGTTTCCTTCCTAGTTTCATCTCCAATCAGCACATAATGATCCATTACATACTAGTAAATTCTGTAAACTGATGCATGTTCTTTAATGATATGATTAACAACAACACAGAATCTATGTAGAAATGCCAAGATCATGAAGGGATTTCAAAATGCACTCTGGGGAGCCTTGAATTTCCACAAAAGCTTAGCAGTACTTCTGGGACAGAAAGTTAATGGTGGGTACCTTGCCTGAAAGAAAGGTAGTCAGTCTTCCCCACTAAGCCTCCAACATACAATGTCAGAGCAAAACTGGATACGCTCTTGGTTAGGGATTCTTAGGCAGAGAAAAAGAAGAGACTCAGAAGCCCACATATCCTGCCATTCTCTCAAACTCCTCCCAAAATATAGGCAGTCAGTACAGGACTGAAGGCTGAATGTACCTCCAATAGTATAGGATATAATAATAATATCATTTATTTACAGGGTTTAGCTATGTATATCTATGTGAATACACATGTATTGGAAAGTCTTGACTAAGATGGGGCTGGGTAATCCCTGGGTGACATGAGACCTTCCTAACAGTGTTCCTGCAGCCCCAGAACCAAAAAAGAAAGAGGGAAATAAGGGGCATGCCTCCTGCACTATCACTGTGTCTCCACTAAGTCCTCTCTGGCACTTGGAGGACAAAACAAAACAAAATTAAAAAAAAAAAGTGTGTCCCTCTGACTGCACAAATGTTAGTCATCCATGCTTTACATTATTAACAAAAATGGTTTAAAAACGAGTGGAAATGGAAGATCGAATTTTTAAAAATCAGAAGTTCAAATATCTTGGTGAATCTACCAAATACACTGCTTAGTTCATAGAATTCTAGAATGGGAAAAGACTTCAGAAGCCATCAAAAGTCCAACTCTCTGCTTTATTCAGGGTCCACCAGAATGTCTCTGACAAATGACCATCCAGCCTCTGTTTAAAGATCTCCAGAGAAGAACGCATCACCTGACAGCCTCTTCCACTGGTTGACAACTCCTACAGTCAGGAAGACCTTCCTGACTTCTAACCTGAATCTCCTTCCTGATAGCTTTAACCCACTGGTTCTAGACCTACCCCTGGCTGTCTTGGCCAATCAAGAATAAGTCCACTTCTTTTTCCTTGTGACAACCCTTCGGATATTTAGATATATTTGACAAGGATATAGGAAAGGAACTTTGGCCATTGATAAAGTGGATGAGGAGGTAGATCCCCATAAATAGGAGAAAGCCCTTCATTGTCCATGATCACTTTGGTTCAGTCTAGAATTCTACCTTCTAGAAGTATATTAAAAAATCTGTGCAGCAAAGCAAACTCTAAATGAGCATACTAGTTAAAGTGTGTGAAGAAGGAAAGGAAGCTAGAGAAGGTATAAAGGGAATATAATTGAAGCACTGGTTTACCTCCTGATGAAGACATTGCTAATGCAGCCTGTAAGGTTGCCAATCTCGCTGGTCTTGGGCCAACCGCCCAGGTGAAAAACAGCCAACTCAGCTTGACGTTTCTGCCTCCTCCGTCGATCAGACCCTGCTGTTGATTCCTGAAGCTGATCATCTACATACATCCGGACCCTACAACAAAAATGTGGTACATTTCAAGGTGGGAGATCAATTTGGGGCCCCAGGTCTGGGGGCAGGCAGCACAAACATGCAATGCAAAGGAGAGGTACCCTGCAGAATCGCTGTAGACAGCCACATAGTGGCTCGTATCATCAGCATAGGCATTCTTTGTGGTAAGCTCTGTGGACAGGACATCGAGAGCCACATGGCCATCTTGCAAAGAAACCTGGCACCACCCTTCCTAGAGAGAGAAAAAAAGGAAGACATATTGCATGCCAGGGAATCTTGGCTCCTTGAGAGCAGTTCAACTCCATTAGGAGTTAAAATGGACAATTCTTCAAGGATATCACAAATAAGCAAAGGTGCCTATAGGGTGGTTCAAAACAGTCAGGATGGCAGTTGTTATTGATGCCTCCCCCCCAGGCACTGCTGAACGTAGGGCAAGAGAAGTCACCATCTTTCCAGTTTAGAATATATTATTTAGATGATTGATTGATAGATAAATGATGATGGAGGGAGGGAGGGAGGGAGGGATAAATTTAGGGGATAGATAGATAGACAAACAAAAGAAGAAGGCAGTTGGTGAGTCTTGTAAAGAAAGTCTCAGGTAGGACAAATGCAAGGGAAAGGTATAGAAATATTTCCTCTCCTTGAGATACAGCTGTTAGTCAAAACCCCAGATCTGCCTGTTTTCTTAAGAAGGCAAAACATTATCCTGGCAGCTTATCCACTTACAGAAATTATTATTATTATTATTATTATTATTATTATTATTATTATTATTATTATTATTACTACTAT